CAGGAGTCTATCCGTCGTCAAGGCCCTGTGGCCTAATGGATAAGGCGTCGGTCTCCTAAACCGAAGATTCAAGGTTCGAGTCCCTGCTGGGTCGAAAGTTTTTGAGGGTCTTCCTTAGCGAAAACCAGCACTCATGTACCTTGCAGAAGCAATCTCCGCTCTGTTGTTTCGGCTTCACGAGGCTATCCGTCGTCAAGGCCCTGTGGCCTAATGGATAAGGCGTCGGTCTCCTAAACCGAAGATTCAAGGTTCGAGTCCCTGCTGGGTCGAAAGTTTTTGAGGGTCTTCCTTAGCGAAAACCAGCACTCATGTACCTTGCAGAAGCAATCTCCGCTCTGTTGTTTCTGCTTCGCGAGGGGTTCGTCTTCAAGGCCCTGTGTCTGATTGGATAAGGCGTCGTTCTCCTAGACCTAGGATTCAAGGTTCGATCCCTTGCTTAGTCGGAAAGTTTTGTCGGTTTTTGTTAGGCGTCGGTCTCCTAAACCGAAGATTCAAGGTTCAAGTTCTTGCAGGTCGAAGCGTTTTACCGGTCTTCCTTATCGCAAAGTAGCTCCCAAGTGTTTTGAAGAAACAATCTCAGCTCTGTTGCTTCGGCCTCGATTGTGGGTATGAACAGGCCTTTAGGTAAAAATAGTAAAACATCTACGTGAAATGTAAACAATTTTTCGAGGAGCTAAGAAGCGCCATGCATATTCTTTTGCTGCCACACCGACGTAGCCTGGAGCTTCTGAGCAAGCGGACAGGATTCTTGAAGGACGAAAACACATGAGGGAAGCAACGCCATGAATTCGTTTCCTCAATGCATTGCATTGCGAAAAGCTCAGATGCTTCAAGTTGTTCGCCTTCATGTTTTGCATTAAAAACGTCAATTCTTGCAGTCCTCAGGATCGCACTCCCCCCAGGATAATGAGGAGGAAATAAAGGAAAGAAGTCCTGATTCCAGTCCTGTTCATCTCGATATTCCCGAAGTTAGCTTCGCGTAAGAGTAGATTTCTAGCTACATTCATCAACAGTTTACAACAAAGTTCCTCTTGAAAAAAGTCGTTTATAGGAACAAATCTTTCGTCTGGATAGATAATCATGAAAATGAGTTGGAAGCACGGCTAGAGAAGCTCAACAAAATACTGTCTGAAATCAAGGTATTGACATTTTGATTGCTGAAGTGGGAATAAGGGAGAGACCATGTGCAGTCCTTTAGTATTGTTTTTGGAAGTTTTATCAATCACTCAATTTGCTTTTTAATAAACGCTACTTTCTTCTTGTTTAGGAGGAAAAAATACAGAAGATTAAAGACAGCGTAGTGAAATGGCAGGCGAAGTATGTGAAACGCCTAATTGATTTGGAGCAGTCTATGCAAAACTTCGAGAAGAAGTGCTTGTACGACAAAGCTGAGCTCAATGAGCAGGCTAGCAATCACATTCTTTCATACCTTCGAGTCCACATGTATATACACAGCTGGGGTTGACCATAGCTCTGATAGTCCAAGATGGGGCGACATGGTTTTTTTTGTGAAGACAAACAAGCAGCTGACATGGGGTGCATAAACGGTTCCATGCCATGGGATAACTGAACCTTGTAAAAACATTTTTGAAACTCCCAGTAAATTCATGAATCTTAGTAAAAATGAACGACGTTTCAAGATTTTGATCTTCCGAAAGCCTCTGCTCTGTGTCATCTATGCTCGTTTCTCAGAGATTAGAGTTTATCGTCTTTTGTGGAACAAGTTGACCCGTGAGCCGCTTCGCGGCTCCTAATCCAATGCGTAATTAACTTTCGGCGATCAGTTTTCTGAATCAACCGTGACTATTTGCCAGTCTATATACACATCACCCCACCTCTGTGCGTCTGGAAGTTAGTGGTTTTTTTAATCGATTACCGGCCGTTGGGCCGATAATGCTCTGATTTTCTGGATCGGCCTTCGATTATCTACTATTCCTTTTGCATACTGTTGCAGCGCTTTGAGATGGGTAAATTGTCAATTTATCGGTTACCCTGTTATGGATCGGTGGATCAACAGCCGACTGGCTTCCGAGTCGGCTTTCGATAATATATCGATCCGTGCACAAATTGCCTCACCACTGTGAACTCGGCATATTATCGATTTATTGATCGATTGTCGATCGGTGGACCAACATTGAATGGTTTTTTTAATCAGATTTCGATCATGCACCGATCCATATACGCATTGCTTCACCACTATGAAATAGGCATATTGTCGATTTATTGGTCGATTATCAATTGATGAACCAACATCGAGTATTTTTTTCTGAATCGGCTCTTTCTGAGCTGTCGATCGATATACGAATTGTTTGTCGAGAACATTAACCAATCGATCAATACCTATCTTCAAGATGGACATACGGACACA